ACAGGACAGACACTGTTGCAGAAAATGCGTAAGCACGGGCGTGCGACTAGAGTTTCGATCGAGGAACAACGTGATATTAAAGAACAGGCGGGGAATGTAAAATGCACGGGACTGAGATGTATAATTTGAAAAATTGTACCATTTCAATCCGATTCGAAACACTCGGACGTACCTGCTACCTGTTCTGCGAAAACGATTCAAAAGTCGATGGCTGACGCATCGACTTGTACTACTTAACAATACGAGGATTAAAGAGAGTCGAAAATATAGCTGTTAATCTCAAGTATTTAACCAAGATCGTTCGGAAACAATTCTTGCATATCATCCAAATATATAAAATAGGACACAGTGATGTACGTGTACATGTGTGAAGGGAAAAAATAGAAGATTAGTTGAAAGAGGTATCCAAACATCGCAGAGGGGGTTTCTAATCGACTCGGCTGTCACTTCGCAACACTGTAATCTCATCGGCGTCTTTCCAGAAGCGGCGTTACAGCTCCCGGAGCGGCCAGAAGAGAGGAACAACGAGGGGGGAAGAAACGAGCGGGAGTAGGGGAAAAAGAAAGGGTAAAAAAAGTAGTTGGCTGGTGAATGAAGCTATGCACCTCCGTGCCCGGGGGGCCCCAAGATTCAAGTCCGGAGGCTAGTGTACCGTGACGAGCACAGCATCCTGCCTCATCCTCCTCTTCCATCTTTCTTCTCCTCTCCTTCCTCCGATCGACGATCTCTCGAATCGTTCCCTGCCATCAGGATAATTCTTCTCCCAGTTCCTATAAGACGTTGCTGTTTCTCTAATCGATGGATTCGTCTCCGATTATCGGCTACTTTTAGAACATCCATGCCGATTAATTCTATAACTTCATCTCTCCTCGAACTATCTTGAAAATCCGTCGACTTTCGAACAGATCGTGTACTCATTCAATCAAATAAATACTCTATTCTCACTGGGAGTTGATCAGTTTCTTTCATTCTATCACCAATTCATTCATCGACTCGATTCACGATTCGACCGAAGCCAGGTTCGACTCCTCGTCCATTTCCATCGTCCCTTCGGTCTGTTTTTGCCCTTCTTTTCGATCAAACCGCTGCCTCTCCTTCTGTTCCTTTTCCCTGCTCGCAAGCCATCATCATCGGTGAGGCCCCGATCGATCGATCTGATCGAGGAGGCCCGCAAACGGAAAACCGCAACGCGGACCTAGTTAACCGCGCCGCGGAAATTATTCGCGGAATAATATTGAAGTTCATTCGCCTGGGATAAACGCACTCCGTGCAAATATCATCTCCTCTTCTGATCTATGCTTGATAATCATCTTATCCGAATGCGGATTTAAACTTCTAGCAAACTTTTGCGTAAGATAGAACGTTCGTAACTTCAGAAAATGAAATTCAGTCAAGAACTTCTCCTCTCTCATAAAAATTATAATATCCATTACATTTCTGACATTCTATCGATGTAACAGTGTAGTTATCACTGGACACTTGACAATACGAACTCCGGAAGGAACGACATTCCGTGTGCATCGTCCCGGTTGCTTCCATCTCCGAGCGGAGGAAACAAAACGACGCGTGCACAGTGGCTGGCGTTATGGCCGATACGCGATTAATATTACCAAGCCCGTTCCTGTTCGTCTCCATAAACTAAAAATTTACGATTCCCTGTCGGGAATCCGCTGCCGCTTAATTGCAATAAGAATCATCGTCCGGTTGTAAAATAATACGTAACGAACGTCGGTCGGCACACACCGCCGCATCGTTCGTCGTAACGTTAATTATTAACTATCCTCGAAAGCGAACCGGCAACCGGTGGCACGCCGCGCCGCGCCGCGGCCTGCCGACCTTCTGCCTCTTTTCCTTTTTCCCATTCCTCTTCTTCGCGTCCACGGCTTCCTTTTCTCGTCCGACTCGCGCAAGAATCCACCCGTTGCCAGCGATGACAAACTCGGTGAATCGTTTCAGCAATTAGGTCCGCGAGATACCGCTTCGCCGGTGCAATCCCACCATCGGTAATTAGAGCTTAATGCTCTGCTCCACTTCGAATTTTTACACGGATTTAACGACGCTGATAGAATCGGTTTTCAGACCATTTTATCGTTCAGCGTTTTTGTCATGCAGATCCATTTGAGAGACACTAGATTCTTCTGGCAAGAAGATACAAAAATATCGTTCCTCCGTCCAGATCTATGTTACGTCTATATACGTATGTAATTTGCTCGAGCCCTTCTCTTTACTCGTCGGAGTGAACCATCTCGAGTAGTACGGGGAGAGAGAGAGAGAGAGAGAGAGGAGAACGGGAAGGGGGATCTGTAATTTTCGTCGATTTAATCCTGGACGAGTCCGCTCGCTATTTATTACACTGTAATATTGAAATAAGCGGCTGACGAATAAGCAGGTCGCCGGGGCTTATGCACGTGAAAGCTCGTCTTATTTGCCGCGGCTGATAAGACCCAGAAAGCCATTAAACCGTTGCCTTGATCGGCATTTAATGAAGAAAATCATAATAACGAAGCAGCTGCAAGCCCCCACTTGCTAATCTCGCCGCCGCTTCCTCAATTATCGACGCCGACGACCATGGGATCGCTCCGTGACTAGTATCGAATCGAGATGAAACAACGAAGGCCCTTCGCCTCGCCAGCTACGCAGAATCGATGATCGTGCATCGCCTTTTGTCATCGGACCGTTCCGAGACGAGGTAACATCGTCGCTAGAACGAACGAGACGGAATCCTTTCAGGCTGATCCCTCTTTGCCTCGGTCATCACGAATAAATTATCGGATATTGAAATTTAGTTTATAGCCTAATAATAAACCGCGCGTAAAACCGCGTTACGATATGTTTATGTGTAACACGGGAGGCGGACGACGGTGGGGCGCGGTGGTACAGCGAAGCCGTTCGCTCTTCTATCTGACGTCCACTCGTTTAATGGCCGGCAATAATTGTTGTTTTTCAACGGAACGGAAACAGGCGAGCTATATACCATACGTATATGTGTCAGATCGGAGCATGATGTGTTTCGCCGGCCTCCGGCCTATGATAATCTTTCCTATTCTAGAACCGTTCGGTTGAATATCATTAAATTTTAACGATCATGGTGCGCCGCGTGTCCTTCGCTCTTTTTCCGTTTCCATCCTCTCTCGCCTTGCATTTTGAGAAACGCCAACGCGGCGTCGTCGTTTTTAAGAATCACGAGTACCGATCGGATCGAAGGAAGCTGGACAAAGATAACTTTCTGAACGTGATTAACGAAAACGTTGACAAACAGCATCTTCGTTGCCGTTAGATAATGATAAAAGGAATACAGAGAAAGTACGAGGATCAGTTTAAAGGGCTCGTCGATGAGGCAGTTAAGGGATTAGAGGAGTTTTATAAGTCTGCAAACAACCGCTGGAAAAAAGGGTTAGAAGAGTCTGCAGTATCGCTGGATCCCTAACCCGTGAAATCCGGTCGTAAATGCACCGGGAAAGTGTCACCGACGGCTCAATTTTCGAAAATCGCCTCTTCGCAACCCTTTCGTTACCTGCTGTAACAGGCTAAACGATGCACTCCAAAACAACTACCGCTCGTCGACACTTCGCGGAGATCAAAGTAACGCCGAAGCCTCGTAATACCGTTTTGCAAGAGCTTGTTCAAGAGCGAAACGGTTCATTCTACGATCCAGAAAGTATCATCGAATTCACTCTATCGATTTCAGTTCAATGGCACTGCCTCGTTTTGAATCTGATCGAAGACAATTAAGAACTATCATTTTATTAGCCAGCCTTCATCACCCGATCTTAAAATCGTTCAATCAACAAACATGAAACGCTCTGATCTACTTAAATTTATATCACGTTAATTTCATATCAGTTTAACCCTGATTTGATTTTTCAAATAACTTCAATCCTTCAACGTTGACGCGGCTAATTGCAAACACCGGCACCATCACGTTTTTGTGTTCCCGCGATTAAGAGGGGAAAACACGATAATCCCTTTGAGGCTTTCGACGCCTTAATCCCGGCATTGGATTATTTAAGACGCAAACGCAAGGTCCAGATCGTAAACCAGAGGGTCGGCTCGGGCGAAACAGTGCGAGCGCGATCGCTGCAACCCCTTTCTCTACCTGAGAACCCTCGACGACGGAGACGTCGCGTCGTCGACTTCCGCCGGGGAGGGCGGGGAGGGGGGGCTTCAAATAGAAATAAAATCGATACGTGGCCGGATGAGATACGTACGCGATGGAAAATACAAGCAGAAATGATTTTTCTGATGGAGAGAGAGAGAGAGAGAGAGAGAGAGAGAGAGAGAGAGAGAGAGAGAGAGAAACGACAGAATATCCACGTCTCTAAGGTTTTGTTTTCCCTTTTTTGGAAGATGAATGGAGATGCGGAGCGATTCGGTCGAATTGTTTGGCTCAAATATTTATAGAAACGCAAGAAATTGCATTCGCCTGTTAAACGATGTGAAACGACAATCCATGGTTCATCCAATTATGTATTCAGCTTTTGAAAGATAACGAAATAAAAAGACAATCGCTTGGGATGAAAGAATTGCTGCCAGCGAAGATTACGGAAGCTACTTGACGGACAGGGGGGAAAACGATGGGGAAAGGGAAAGCGAGAGAGGGTGCTTCCCTGTTCCCAGTTTTCTATGGTGTGACGCACCAAGAGCGGAGAAAAGTGGTTGCCAGCTGAATGGCCGGTGTTTTACAACAGTGGCGAGAGCCGAATAACCCTCGTGGCTTTGTTGAATCGCGGTCGCACGAATGTACCTGCGGTAAAAATCAGCTACTGCTGTGCGTAGGACCCGAGGGGCCACGGTAAAGGGTTGATGCTATAAAACGGCCTATTATCGGCTCGCAAGGGAACAAAAATGTCCAGTTACGTTCCCACTTTTTAATTACACCCTTCACTTTTCACGTTTATCTATCCCTTCTTCTTCGCGCTCGTTCTTAACCGTAGCTTCGCTCTTAGCTTTGAGTAAACGGAAAGTCGCATGTACGATGTCGTTTAAAATCGATTACCTACCTGCGGACACATCTTGCACTGGTACTTCCTCGGTGGATGAGAGTGCGGTCCACCCAGGTGAGGATTCAAATGCGACGGATGAGAGGGCTTCACGGTCAAAGGTTGAGGAACCACCAACAGACTCGCCGGCGGACTCCCACTGCTGGATCCCCCGGCTCCTCGATATTGATCCTCGCCTGAAATCATGATCAGAGAGATCTCGCTTGAAATAAACCCGAGGGAGATCGTGAGGCAACAGTGGCAATAAATGATTATCTGGATCAACGAAATTCTTATTTATTATAACGTCTCGGGCGGTAAACTTCGATGGCTGATTGCACGGTTCAGAGAGTTAATCGAACGAAATCTTTTTTGCTCGTAGATCTACATAAACGTTAACGTTACACTCGCATTTTATGTTCGCGAGATTAGAAAGTACTTATCGAACACATTTAATGCTCGGGCCAGCTCCGCGAAATTCAGCTACCATTCGCCGGGACAATCGACGCGAAGTCAATTCGATGGTAATTAAAAAAAAAATTAATACATGAACGCGGAACGAGTAACGATGATTCAAGGAACTTCGGCCGTGTTTATCGCGACGAGCGATCGTGAATAAAATCGATGCTACTAGAAAACATGATACGACCAACAACAAAAGTATTATTTTGTTATGCAACGAAAATCCTGTTTTGCAATTTGTACCATTTATTCTAGCCATATTTCTTGCCATTAGATAATAACTGACTACATGTTAATACAACGTTGGGGTAAGCGGCGCGTAATTTGGACCGATAAGATGACTAATTGGAAGTAGAATTCGCGTGAGCAAAAGTAAATGCCAGAGAAAGAGGCACGCGGATCGACTGACGCAACGCGAAGGGGCAAGGATCTCGGCAGGTTGCAAGGACGAGTGATCCTGCGTTACGAGCGGCTTTCATTAGAAGACAAGTTCTCGATATCGAGATCGAGCTGGGTTACAGGTGCATCCGCTAGCCGTGTGCGTGCCTGTCCCACCATTCTTTCTGCTTCCTCTAAGTAGTTCTCACGCTAATAACTCAAACGCACAGTGAAAGATACGAGTAACGTACAGGACAGTTTCATTTCGCGTTTGTTTGCACAGAAGCATGTCTTGCATTACTCGTAACAGGTAAAAGGCGGCCGTTACGAGTCTCGATAAAAAACGCCATCGCATTAAGCCACTAAACTAATTTCAGTGATGTTTGTAAAACGCTTTGGCATCGATCCGATCGTTAAAATCGTCTCATTACGGCACGGGATTCAGTCCTCGTTTTCCAAAAGAAGAAAGAAAGCAGAGAACGATGCTCGCACGCCACGCGATCGACCGTTACCGACTTTCATTACGCATCACGCGTTCCCTTGGTTTATTGCGCGCGTTCTCAATTCCTTTTCATCGATTCTTGTCTTACCATTCGTCTTTCCCGGCAAGATGAAATTTTAGTGCCACCGCGGACTCCGGTAAAAACTACAGGAAGTATTAGAGCAACATTAAACGAAGGAAGCTGTAATGAATCGAGTGTCTGACCCGTTTCCTGCCAATAAGAAAAATCGGTCGACCTTCCCCGGTGATTAGGCGTAATTTCAGAAACAGGATTATTCGTTATTATTTTGCGCTTCTCCGAAACCCTTCCATCGAGTATTCACTGTCACACTCACAAGCGAATCAGAATCTTTCCACGAAGAAAACCGCAGTTTTATCGTTTTCCTATTTATTCTTATTACTATCGTATTATTTCCTATTTATCCTTACCCGTAGGCAGTGGCAAATAAATTACTAATGAACGGCGAGGACGAGCCGGTGTCAATAGCAGTGACAAGAGTGCAAGGCGCGAGGCCAATTAATCTTGCCGCTCGAAACACGTCAGCGGGCATCGCGAAAATTTTGCAAATCACGTTTCTCTGTACCCTTTTTTCTTCTCCCCACTCCATTTTTCCTATCGCGCTACCATTATCGCCGCATTTAGCCGTTTAATTGGCTGGTTCACGCGCGTGTAATTGCTCGTGCATATGCAGTCGTGACACTGTAACCCGTGACCAGCGAACGCGAAGTCCTTTAAGGTGTTCTGCCGCTTTGCATACAGAAATTTAATTCCATCTCATTTGCATCTCGATGAGATGCGTTGAGAAACAAGCGCGACCGTCGCCGCCGATTGCACGTGGTCCGTTGGCAAAATCTGACGTACCGGGTGCGCAGTTTCGAGTTTGAATGCGCAATAGGTCATACCTGGCGTGACACAGATTTAAGAGCCTATTACCGAGGTTAAATATAATATATATACGTAATGTAGCCAATGGAAAATTATTATTTTAGTGTCGGACATAAATTATTATGTCAAAACAAAAGCAATTAAGAATGGAACTTTTCTCTAATCGAAAACAGTAATAGAATTTTGAATTATCTATAGAATACGCGACGCGATAACGATCTGCGAACGGAACTTTGTACCTGCGAAGCAGTCGTCGAATCGGTCATCGCCGGTAACGTTAGCGAGCACGTAACGTTCTCCTCGCGGCACAATTAATTGATCTTTCCAGCGTGCTTGAACTCGATAATTATCATTTGCATACGCGATCTCGTGCACCCGGACTCGTCTGATCGTCTCTCGCTTTGCATGATCGACGAGCGGGGAAACGAGGCAGGAGAGGTGGGTCAGGTTCTCCTTCGGCCGGCAATTAGCGTACGCAATATCGCAACCGCGGAAAATCAGTGCGTTGGTTTTCTGCGTCGTTTCCCTCGATCGGTCGTAACATAACAGAATCACGAAACGAGATTCTTCAAAAGTATTTCTGTCCCAGATTCATCGGTCGATAAAAAAAACGAAGAAGAGACTTGGACCTAAGGTCGCAGAGTCAATATGCTCATTGGAACATTACATAAGATCTGCAATTATCCATAAGTAAGAAGTGCATATGCAACGAGCGTAATACGTGCAAGACTGTTGCTACTCGCGGAAATTAACGACATTTAAGATAAATTAGATTCTTTATAGCGGACGCGTTTAGAAAATATTCTTTTCCGGGGCATGGAAATCTCTGAGCAGTCGAAAGGTGGCTTTTTATGTTCTTTGAATGGAGCACGATGATACGACGCGACGCGGAATGGAGATAAAAGCCGGCTCTCCCACTAAGTTTAGAACGCAACACGATCCCCGATGCATTATGTCTTTCAAAAAAAATTTTCCCCATTTCCTCGGCTCGATGCGAATTTCGAGGGCGATTACATTTTTTACGAATAACGTCGATTTATCGTCGCCGCGATTCTTCTCTTTTATCCCGTCCTCGTCTATTCTGAGATCTTTTCTATCGCAAACGAGTCGATTCAAAGTATAGAATAATTCTAGTACAGTGATTAGTTTTGAGTGTCAAGCGTTTCTGTGGGACGGGCCAACGCAATTCCGCCGCGTGTTTTCATCGTCAGCCGGAATCATTAATGGCGCATTGCGTCACGCAGCCAGCGTTTCACGTTGACTTCAATGGAATTATCGCGGCCGTTTCGGCGCAGCGACTCGACGCGTGAAAACTGTCTTACTTACTTCCACTTTCTTCTTCGCTATAGCTCTCGTCTCTTTGTCCACGATTTCATTCACTTCGCCGCCATTCGAACCAGCTCCCTTTACCAGCGTTCACCACCAGACGTTCGCCGTTTTTATTTATCCTCTTTTCACTTTGTTCGTTGCAACAGACGGAGGTACCACTCCACGATTTTCCTTCTTGTTCACGAATTACAAGTTTATCCGTTTTTACAACTTTTACAAACGCGAAACACCTTTACATGCGAGTTATGTAGAAAGAAATTCTTTTCTATCCCTTTACAAGTTTTCGGCCAGAAATTTTCGCTGAAACGAAAAGCGGGGCTAAAAGAGGCTCTCCTTTGCGGAACCGAGTCTCGCGGGAAACGGGACTAATGGCCGTGGGAGCGTAGCAATTGTCTCCATTGTGACACATGTTTATAATTGTTTACCAGCTGCGTCGAACCGAGCCGGAATTCGACGAGACTCGAAGCATCGTGGAATTTCGGTCCCTCTCGCGGAACGACAATCCATCCGTTTATATGTATAAATTCTTCAATTCTTTCCTTTCTTCATAATAGTTAAAGCGTTCCGGTTTCAAACAATCATCATGAGACCTAGTCTTTTGCAGTGGACAAAACGCATTGCCTTTCCAGAAACGAATAGTACTTATCGACAATCTGTTATTCCAATTTAAGAAACAACATCTGAATAGAAACTTTTATCCGTCAAATGTATACATCCAATCTTTCTCTAAATACTTCGAATCTACGGTTCAGTCATTAACGTTGTCAGATACAAAAAAGATCCTATGCAACTTCCTTCTAACTCCATTCGTTAAGTAATATTAGTCGATGGACATAATTAATCGATTAGACCTGAAATATTCAAGGTAGATAAAAAGTGTATATGACATTTTTTGCAGGTAACAGCAGTACTTACAATTTTTACTTGAAGCATTTTTCGAAATTCTGAAGAAATAAAAATTTTAATTTCTTCGAGAATTCATCAAGACTTACCGGTTGCCGCTAGCGAAAAATGTTTGCAACGAAAGTTGTAGGCACCATCGAAAGCTACATCTTTTGTCTGAAACATTTTTTACTATCGTCAATAATTAATGAGTATTTTTTAAATATTGTTTTATCATTTTATGCGAAATACTCGTTAACTATCGGCGGTAGCGAGAAATGTTTCAGACAAAAGTTGTAGCTTTCGATGGTGCCTACATCTTTTGTCTGAAACATTTTTTACTATCGTCAATAATTAATCAGTATTTTGTAAAAAATTGTTTTATCATTTTATGCGAAATACTCGTTAACTATCGGCGGTAGCGAGAAATGTTTCAGACAAAAGTTGTAGCTTTCGATGGTGCCTACATCTTTTGTCTGAAACATTTTTTACTATCGTCAATAATTAATCAGTATTTTGTAAAAAATTGTTTTATCATTTTATGCGAAATACTCGTTAACTATCGGCGGTAGCGAGAAATGTTTCAGACAAAAGTTGTAGCTTTCGATGGTGCCTACATCTTTTGTCTGAAACATTTTTTACTATCGTCAATAATTAATCAGTATTTTGTAAAAAATTGTTTTATCATTTTATGCGAAATACTCGTTAACTATCGGCGGTAGCGAGAAATGTTTCAGACAAAAGTTGTAGCTCTAGTC